TTAAAAATTTTGGGTCTTCAGTGGAATCCCACAACGGATAACTTTCATTTTCATTTTAACTCTCTTGACAGACCTTGTACTAAACGAAACATGTTGTCAGAATTAGCTCGTATTTTTGACCCGTTAGGCTTCTTAGCTCCTGTTACCTTTTTTACTAAAACTTTAATCCAAAAGTTATGGTCGTCCCATATGGATTGGGACCAACAGCCCCCTGACGAAATTATCCGTATTTGGACGCGTTACAAAAATGAAATGCACTTGTTGTCTCAAATTGACCTTCCCCGGAAGATCCTATTTTCCGAGTGTGAGAATAGATGTGAGTTGCATGGTTTTTGTGATGCGTCTGAAAAAGGTTACGCCGCAGTTGTATATCTTAGAATTTTGAGAAACAACAAAAAAATAGATGTTCATTTAGTTGCTTCAAAAACTAAAGTTGCGCCTTTAAAGAAGTTAACAATTCCCCGTCTTGAGCTCTGCGCCGCTGTTCTTCTTGCTAAATTACTCGCATATTTAGTACCCATTTTTAAAACTAAAATATCTTTAGATAAAATTATTACCTGGTCTGACTCTAATATTGTTTTATATTGGCTTCACTCTCCACCTAGTCGTTGGAAAACTTTTGTTGCTAACCGAGTATCTTATATTCAAGACAAGCTCCCACACGCAACTTGGTTACACGTTGAGTCCAAGAACAACCCTGCTGATGTTGCTTCTCGAGGAATATTTCCATCAGAGTTTGTAAATTTTAGTACTTGGTTTCAAGGACCTTCTTTTCTTCATGATCCTGATGCTATGTTAGGTTCAACCTCCGCATGCGCTACTCTAAATAGTACTTCCGAAGAAGAAAAAGAGAACTTTATTGACCTTCTTTTAGAAAAATACTCTTCTTTCGCTACTCTTCAACGTACCGTCGCTTATGTTTTACGCTTCCTTTTTAATATAAAAAATCCCCGTCAAAAAAGATCGGGTCCGCTCTTAACTGTTGAATTAAATGAATCATTTACGTGTCTTGTAAAAAGGACTCAATCGATTTGTTTCCAATCGGAATTGATTTCTAAATCTTTTCTAAACCATTACGTAAACTTAATCCTTTTTATTGACGAACAAGGAATTGTTCGTGTAGGTGGTAGATTAAAACATTCAACTCTATCTTATTCTGCAAAATATCCAATTTTACTCACCTCGCTCTAGTTTACTAACACGCCATTTAATATATTACTACCATCTTAAATACCTTCATGCAGGATTGCGCACTTGCTTTTTTTACTATCTCAATCGGTTTGGATTCTTTCTCCTAAACGAGCTATAAATTCAGTAATTCATTCATGTTTAATTTGTTGGCGATCCAATCCGAAGCCTTTCCAACCGCAAATGGGAAATTTACCGCCGTCTCGCGTTTCACAATTAAAAGCTTTCACACACACGGGGGGGTAGACTTTGCAGGGCCGTTCTTAATTACTATGAACAGATATAGAGGTGCTAAAACAACTAAAGCATATATATATGTTTATTTATATGTTTTGCGACTAAAGCTATGCACTTAGAATTAGTTAGTAGCTTGTCCACGGAAGCTTTTTTTGGGCGCCCTTCAGAGATTCCTATCCCGAAGAGGTCGCTGCACAGACATATATAGTGATTGTGGAACCAATTTTGTTGGTGCTAGCAAAGAAATTAAAACTATGTTTGAATCCGCAGTTGAACATGAAAATATTCAATGGCATTTTAATCCGCCCGCTGCCCCGCATTTTGGGGGACTTTGGGAAGCTGGTCATTTTTTAACTTTAGAGCCATTGAACAGTTTACCTACGCCGAACTTTACTGCTGTACCAATTAACCGTCTCTCTCGTTGGCAACTTTTACAACGATTACATCGCGATTTTTGGAACAGGTGGCATAAGGAGTATTTGCATTCGCTTCAACAACGCCAGAAATGGCTTAATTCCTCTGACGCTCCTTCTCTAGGAACGTTAGTTATTATAAAAATGAAAATGCTCCTCCATGCCAATGGACCTTAGGTCGCATAATTTCGTTAAGTGAGGGGACGGATGGTGTGGTGCGGGTGGCTCTGGTGAGGACAGCTAAGGGAACTTTGCAGCGTCCTTTAGTTAAATTATGCCCTTTACCCAGCAATTAATTATCGCCATTTATTTATTTTTTTTTTGCTATTACACAAAATTATTTTTATGTATTTTTTTTCTACTTTTATTTTTTCTTTATCTTTATCTCAATTTTTATTTTTTTTGCATTCAAAAGGTACGCATTTAAAACGCATGTTTAGAACATGCCTTTTCGCCGGGCAGAATGTTTAGGAAACTCTCAAAATATTTTTAATTTTATCTCTTTTAATTTTAAATTCAATATTAATTTATTCTATTATTTATTGTATACGCATATGTGGTACTAGGAAGGTTATTCCAAAGGGCTGAAACACGCCTGCGTCAATTAACCTTTGTACCACAATACACTTGATCGAAAGATCCCGCAAGAACCGCATCTATCGAAAGATCGATTCAACGTGCTAACCGCCGCCGCCGCAAATAACTTTATTTTAAATCTTCAAAAGGTCCTACCAATTCGGTACCGTTTACTCGTGCGAGTAGTTGTTCCTGATCCAGATACAGGGTGGCCACCCAGGAGAAGACTACAACCCTCCAAGGTAAGCCGACCTCGTACCACGTGTTATTTTAGCAGGAATTTCTATTTTCTCGAGTTTATTACAATCATTTCTTTATTTCCTTTCTAAACATATACATATTCAAATTTTATTTGGGATTGATATATTTTATTTTTGAACTGTTACCCCTGAATCTGTAAATATATTTTTCCTTTTTTTTATAATGAAATTTATTATAACGGGATAGGTTTGCAAATATCTAAAAGCTTGCACTATTAAAGAATTTTTCATGTGTTCGACATTGTTGTAGTTGCCAGGATATATTTCATTGAAATATGAAATATATCCCCAATCCCCAATAAGTCCCTAAAATCACAAATCGAGAACGAACAAATCCGGAAATCGGGGAGGCCATCATATGGCTTCATTGGTTCCAATTCATTAATTTGAAAAATAATAATTTAACAAAATTCTAATATTTTCAAAGTTGTGAGCTGGATCTTGCTGAAAGTATATTTCACGTAAATTAGCTAAAGGAATAGGTATCTAGAGTTTCCTGTGTGATAGCTTCGAATATTTACAAATAGCGGTAGAGAGTTAAATTTTCCTAATATATAAAAAGCTCCCAAAATAAAACAAGAGACAGATAGCAATATAATTTTAATAATTCTTTAGTTTCTTTTATTTTATATTATTCTAATCATGGCATACTAATAAAAATGATAGTTTCATAAATACTTTTAAATATTGCAGCAAATTGTGAAAATAAATATAGAGTGCTATATATTTTTGAGAAGCTTATGGTAAGTCAGATCATATAATTTATAAATATACAGTGTGTTCCATTTAAGAAAACATAACTTTAGTCCATATCTTTAAAAAGATTCTTTTTTCTGAATAACAGACTACACCACTGTATTCTACGTAAAAAGTTCCACAACAAACAGTTTTCACCTTCTCGATAGCTTTAACAATAACAGAGATACAGGGGGTGTCCCAAATTGCAAAATTTTCAAAAAGACCTTGTAGCTCAGAAACGAAAAGGGCTATGAAAATGTTGTTTACAGCAACTTCCGTTTGACAAGAAAGTGGAACAGGTTTGTAAAAACCGCAACCTTCTATCTTCACTAATAACGGAGATACCATATGATTTCAACCAAAATGGGACAGCCTGTATATGTATTTAAAGTCTTGCCCAGCCAAGTTTTATGAAGGATAATTTAATTCAAAGTTAAAGAAAAAAATAATTTTCTGACTTACCGAGATGACAGGTAGCAACAAATTAGCTTGCAACGATTCTGGTGGTTGCTCCTAATTGACAGTTTTAATTACCAGTGGTATAAAGCTTTCCTGTTTCATAAATGTGATATTATTGTATTATCTAGATTAACCGCATTTTAGATATAGGTATTTTGAAATTACTATATGTATATTTAATTATAATCATGGTTTACCTAAAAACATAATGGTTTTATACATTAAACATGAAAAAGTTAATTAAATGACATGTGGAATTAGTTTATATTAGATCAAAGGAAATGTTATTCCATAATAGAAATGCTATATTTTAATTAGTACCCACTATTTAATAATGTTGCAATATACATTGTCTTTTATATTTTGCATATAGAAAAATCGTAGGCGCCTGTCAACATACAGAGTCGCTGTTATGTTTGGAAACGGTCGATTATTAGGTAAAATATAGGAGGTACCGCAAAAAGTTAAATACAAAAGTTATAGGATTTTTAAATATATATAATAGCAAGTAATAAATTTAAGTATACAGGGTCAGTCATAAAGTCGTGGTACATAAAAGTTTCATTTTTTTTAAAATAATGCAGTAATGCCCTGTATATTATTACTTATTGCAATTCTTCCTTCAATTCTAAGCAAAAAATCGAAATACACACAGTGTACCTCAAACCAACCGTTGCTGAGTTATTGACTCTTGAAAATATCACTTAAACAATTTGATTTAATTAATTTGGACATGTTCAGTTTCATTACTACTTTCCTACGTTTCATCCCTACACGCAATCATAGATTTTAGTAGGTTGTTTTTGTTTATTTGCCGTACATTGTTAGTAATTTTGAGTTTATAGAATTTACAGTTGATTTTTGATCAACCATTGTAATAATTATTGTAATTCTACGATGTAAATAAACTATATTATTGTTATTATCTCAACTACATCCGTTGGTTTCTCGTGGTTGGAGGAGTGACTCGTCTCAACCATGATGGTGATAACTTTTCTGGCTTAGAAACGTTCCCGGCTAAGTTACATGTATAGAAATCGCCTTGCTGTATGGCAGGTGTTAAGGATTACAGATTTTTGCATAAGTTGGTACTGGTATGCTTCCAAGTCTATTGCTTTCAGCGATTCAATTAGTGTTTTTGGTATGTTACACCCATATTCGATAGTACTAATGGGATGACCCGGACTCGATCGTATTTCCACATATCCTTAATTTCAAAGCATAAATCAATATATTTGGTAATCTTCTCTCTGTATGTTTGTGTTAGGTTATTGTTGTTTGTCACCGCAAAATCTATGAGCAACACTTCATTTTCGTTTTTCTTCTTCACTACTATGTCTGGTCTATTGTGTTCTAGTCTTTTATCTGTTATTATAGTTCTGTCCCAGTACATTTCATATTCATTGTTTTCAAGGATTGTAGCAGGTTCGTACTGATAATAGTTAACTTTATGCTCTATGAGTTTATACTTCAATGCTAGTTCTTGGTGTATGATCTTTCCCACTTGGTCGTGTCTAAATTTGTAGTCACTCTGTGCTATAGCTTGGCATCCTCCTATGACGTGATGTATTGTCTCACTTGCTTTCTTACACCTTCGGCATAAGTCAGACTCAATTCCGTCCTTTAAGATGTATCTTCGGTAGTTATTGGTCTTAATCACTTGATCTTGGATGGCTATAAAAAACCCTTCAGTTTCCGGTTGTAGCTCTCCACGTTTTAACCAATTGTACGTCGCTTGTTTGTCGACAGTGTCCTGGTCTACGTCATGGGGAAACCTTCCGTGTAGAGCTTTTTCTTTCCAGCGGGTAAGCTTGTCTGCGTCTTCTACTATGGACCAAGTTTTTTCTTCGTCACTTAGTATTAGTGGGGTGTGTTTATCTGCTTTTACAATAGCTCTATAGTATGGAGATTGTGCTTGTTTTGAGTAGAAGTATTTCCGTAGGTTTATTATACTATTGTTGTGCAGGTTAGATAGATCTATAAGTCCCCTACCACCATCTTTCCGTTTGAGTGTAGTTCTTTCTACTGCCGCTTTTGGATGGTGGCATCTATGTTTCGTCATGGCGACATTTGTTTTTGTTTGGATGTCTTTCATTTCTGTTTGTATCCACTTAACGATTCCAAATGTAGATGTTAGCAGTGGAATAGCGTATGTATTTATAGCTTTAATCTGATTTTTAGCGTTGAGTTTAGATTTAAGGATCATATTGATGCGTTTGAAATATTTTTCTTTTATTATTTCTTTTATATATTTGTGTTCAGTGCATTGTTTTTGATGCATTCCTAAGTATTTATACATTTCATCTTCATACATTGGTTCGATTTTTGGCATGTTGTTTCCCTGTACCCTTTCTACTACTTGTTTCCCTTTCTTTATCGACTGTGTTCTGCATTTGTCCAGTCCAAATTCCATTTTAATATCATTCAAAAAATTGTATATCATTTTTACTAGGTGTTTAAGCTGCATTTCTCTGGGTGCGTAGATCTTTATATCATCCATATAGAGAAGGTGTGACAATGTATAAATTACTTCTTTGTTCTGTTTAATCTGTACGCCTGTGTCTTCCCTCTTTAAGATATTAGAAAGAGGGTTTAGTGGCAGGCAAAACCAAAGCGGGCTCAACGAGTCGCCTTGAAAGATACCTCTATTTATTTGGATATATTTAGTTTCTATTTTTCCTATTTCGGTATTATTATTTTTGTTTTCCATTTGCTCATTACAGTTTTGAGGCATTCCGTTATTATTGGGTGTACATTATATATGTCCAGAACTTTCTGGAGCCAGCTATGGGGAACTGAATCATATGCCTTCTTGAAGTCAATATATGATGAATGTAGGTTCCTCTTTTGTTTTCTTATTTGCTCTGTCACTATCATGTTTATAATAAGTTGTTCCTTGCATCCTTTTGATTGTTTAATACACCCTTTTTGTTCCATTGCTAGGATACTATTTTGACTAGAATGGTCGTACAGTCTATTTGCGGTGATGGAAGTGAATATTTTGTAGATTGTGGGAAAAAAATTATTATTATTATTATTTATCGATACCATTCTGCCGAAACTGTGATACATAATAATATTTGACATTAGTTCTCAAGTTAGCATTTATAAACGTGTAAAATGAGATTATATCTAGTCTGAAAATTACAAAATATTCGTGTAACTTTTCAATTCTTCAATTTCTGTACATTGCGTATTAAGATTAATGCCTACAATATAAGGAAGAATTGAAATATGCAATAATATACAAGGGGTTCCATTTAAATAAAATAAAGTTTGATGTGCCACAACTTTATGACCGACCCTGTATACTTAAATTTACTAGTAGCTAATAGACATTTAAAAACTCATTACAACAGTATCACAGTTTCGGCAGAATGGAATTCATTAAATGAAACTGAACATATCGAAATTAATTAAATCAAATTGTTTAAGTAATATGTTCAAAAGTCAATAACTCAGAAAGGGTTGGTTTGAGGCTCGGTTTGAGGTATATTGTATGTATTTCGATTTTTGCTTAGAATTCAAAGAAGAATTGAAATATGCAATAATATAGAGCTGTTGAGGGAAGCGATTGAAAATATTTCGTTATATGCTGAAAAAAAGCTGCTATAATGGTTCATTATTAATTTAGAGCTTCATTATTTCAGTTTACTAAACTGTAAAAAAGGTATTTAAAATACTAGAAGTTTTTCAATATTTTCCAGAAAATGTCAAGAAAAGCAAAAAAACTCATGGTCGTGTTTCTGGGGTCGAACTATACTACCAGTTAAAATATTTGCACTTATTTCTGGGACACCTTGTATATCTATACTAATATACAGGGTTGTTCACCACATACGACACGAAAGATTGTAGCTAAACGATTAGATTTTTATAAATTGTGAGTTTTGGGTTCGTTGAAGGACTATTAGAGCTACAATTTAAAAATATTTTTACAAGTTACAGAGTGTCCCAAATAAATAAAAAATATCAAAGTTGTATTTTTTTAAATGGAACACCCTGTGTATTATTACATTTTTAGTTTCTACGATTAAAATAAAGGTAATTTTGGTTTTAAAAACAATCTAAAATGTCAATATTCCACGGGTATATTGATAAATGAGGTCTAAATTATAAGAAAATGCATTTTCTAGGAAAACTTGAAGGGATAGGTAAAAAGTGATGTAATACAATTTGATAGACAATTAAATTGTGCATCTGATTCTCATAAAATATACAGGGTATTCCATTTAAATTAAACAAGTTATTGCCGTTTAAAGCTAGTAATTATTTAAAATAAATTTTTAGACACTCTGTATAAGGTAGTATAATTTTTATTAATGCAACACAATAACTGGTCAATAAATAAACTTCAGTAAATATTTAGTATTAAAAACTTTGATACCCTCGGAGAAATGAAGCCTTAAAATTTATACTGCAATTTTACAAAATTGAAAATATTTCAAGAACGGTAATGTTTAATTGTAATAAACCTTAATCAAATTTACATTTATTTTAATCGTAGAAACTAAAAATTCAATAATATACAGGGTGTTCCATTTAAAAAAATACAACTTTGATATTTTTTATTTATTTGGGACACTCTGTATCTTGTAAAAATATTTTGAAATTGTAGCTCTAATAGTGCTTCAACGAACCCAAAACTTACAATTTGTAAAAATCTAATCGTTTAGCTACAATACTCCGTGTCGTATGTGGTGAACAACCCTGTATAAAATCCTTAAGTGACTCATAATATACTTATTAATCACGCTCATAATCCTACTGATTAATCACGCTCCTCCTCAAACGACTCAACGTAAGAAGCTCAATTTTGGCATACAGGTTGATTTTAGGGTGTAGAGGTTCGATAAGAAGCGATTTTTCGAAATTCCAGTTCCAAGAGGGTGACACCACCCCTCAAATATTACAATATTTCTTATTTAAAAAAACGGTCAAGTTTCCGAAAAAACGCTTAAACAGGTATATTTTATTTTGTTTTTTTACATATTTTAAGATCTTTTAAAAATGTATACAGGGTGTTTCGAAAAATCTGGACATTGATTAATCACGATCCTGCTTAAAGCGCTTGACGTAAAAAGCTGATTTTTGGAAAACAGATTCACTTTAGGGTGTAGAGGTTCGATAAAAAGGGATTTTTCGAAACTCGAATTCTAAGGGGGTGATACTATCCCTCAAATATTAAAATATTTTTTATTTAAAAACCGGTGAGTTTTTCGAAAAAACTCTTAAACACTTATATTTTATTTTGTTGTTTTACATATTTTAAGATTTTTGTAAAAATTTATACAGGGTGTTTCATAAAATATGACCATTGAACGATTCTGCTTAAACTGCTTGACATTTAAAGCTGATTTTTGGTAAACGGATTGATTGTGGGGTGTAGAGATTCGATAAGGAGGGGTTTCTCGAATCTCAAATTCCAAGAGGGTGAAAACGCCCCTCAAATATTACAATATTTGTTATTTAAAAAACGGTTAGTCTTTCGGGAAAACGCTTGGACAAGCATAATTTATTTGGTTTTTTACATATTTTGATTTTTTTTAAAAAATGAGACAGGGTGTTCCAAAAAGTTGGGCAATTTCTTAACCACGATACTGCTTAAACTGCTTGACGTAAAAAGCTTATTTTTGGCAAACGGATTTTTCGAAAGTCAAATTCCGACGAGATGAAACTACCCCTCAAATATTACCAAGTTATATAATAATATCGCCATATTGTTTTTTCTCATGCTGACATAAATGTGAGAAAATTTTATCCAGTTTGTATGTTAATGGAAATTCTTGCTTTGCTTTATCATCACCATTACAACTGATTAATTCGACGCGAACGAAGTCGCTGGTACGCGCTAGTAATTTATATTTGCACAAAAACATGCAAGACGCATTTCCAGAAGTATGACGTTTTGACGTTTCCTTTAATATTTTAATATATTTATATTGTAGTATATAAGTATTTTATATATCAGAAAACATTGCAGGTTGAGTGATTTTATTTAAAAAACACAAATGGCATTTTGTGCAACCGTTTTACTATCACCCGGTATATAGGCTGACATTTAACGCTATTCATCTTACTTATTACTGCAATATTAAAATTATCCTGAAAGGTATAGTTTAATAATTTTTCGCGTATGTCTTTTATTATTAACATACAGAAGCTTGATGATCACATGTAAAGTAAACAGTTTTAATTAAAAACCTCAAGTTCTAAATCAGAATTATATGAAATCCACATGTTTCCAGATATATTCCAAAATAGAAAGTCATTACTACAACACCATTAAATCATTGAGGTTCTTTTTAATCAATATCTAACAATTTTAAATTTCTAATAAATTTGTGTTTGCACTGTTCTCTTCAATACTCGCGAAAAAAAGCGTTGAAACCAAAGCAATCAAAATTCATTCCTACCAACTGAAATATCGGATAAATTTCATGGTGCGCGCTGAAAATAAGCAGAAGAAGTCGGAAGCAACAAAACGATTAGTTGCACGATTGAGCTTTGATTGCTTTTGTTTCAACCTTTTTTTGTGATTCTTTGTTTTTTTTCCCGGAACTAGGTTTGGTCCGAACATTTGAGTAGGATGGCAGGCTTTATCCGCTAGTAAATTTTGCAAATAAGCTTCAGAAGCAACTAGTAAAATGTTTGGTTTGGCGCTCTAGTAAATGTCACTTAAGTAGCCTCCTTCAAATATTCAGATACTCTCTTTGTAGTTGGGCCCATTGGTGTGTATTGTTTGCTATGCGTGCCCAAGTTATCCCTGCTAATTTCCTAATATCATAGTCTTCCTCTAAGTCTCTTAATTCCTCGTGAGTACCGTAATTTTTGCGGCCCATCTATTGTCCGTCCTTCTCGCCAGGTGTCCTGCCCATTGCCACTTGAAGGATTTGATTCTGTGGATGATATCTACTGGGATGGGCCGGCCATGTTAAGAGACAACATCAACGTGTCGTCAAGCTGGTATAGGAAGAAATCCCGGAAGTAAATCGGCCACTGGGAAGACCAAGAACGCGGTGGAGAGATAATGTTAGATTGAGCGAGCAAAAGAACAAATGATGGACCGTAGCGAGTAGAGGCAGATTGTAAAGTCATCAAGGACCCACTCCGGGTTGTAGTGCTACACACACAGAGAGAGAGAAAGAGAGAGGGATGGTAGCTGTTGCCTGGAGCGTATCCACTATCCACTCTACTCTTTTACGGTCTCTCTTGATTATTCCCAGCATATTTCATTCCATTGAGCGTTGTGCGACCTGCAGTTTCCTGCTAACGATGTCCGTTTTAAGTGTCCAGGTTTCGCATGCATAAGTTATGACTAGTAGTACAGATTGGTCGAATGCTTTCTTCTTTAGATAAAGTGGCATTTTAGATTTGAATATGACTGAGTTTCTTCCATAAGTACTCCATGCTAACTTAATTCTTCGGTTGAATCCCCGAAGTCCCGAGCTGTGTATTAGTTGTCCCAAACTAAAAATGTCTTCTATTATTTCCAGTTTTGTGTTATTTATTAGAATTACTTTTCTGTCTACTAGTTCGTTGTACAGTTAAGCAAATATAGGAAGAGACTTGGGGATAGCACCGGTCGCCCGTGTTATTTTATATTTCTCACGTCTCTAGCTATACTTGTTAAGTTGTACATTACTTTAGTTTTAGTTAAATTAATTTTGAGACCTAGTTTATTGCTGGCTGTATTTAGTTCGTTAATTTGTGTTTGTAGTTGTTCAGGACAGC